ATTCAGAAGGACCAGTTTGGGAGGGCCCCCAGGAGTTTTGGGCAATCCAGATGATCTTTGGGGGTACCCAGGAGATTTTTGGGTGATCCGGGTGATTATTGGGGTTATTCAGGTGATGTTTTGGCGGGATCCAGGTGTATTCAGGTGATTTTGGGGGTATCCAGGTGATTATAGGGTCTCCCAGGTGATTTTAAGGAGTTCTCAGGTGCATCCCGGTAGTTTTTGGCATTCTCGGATGATTTTGCAGGGTACCCAGGTGATTTTGGGGGCAATCCAGGTGGATCCACTTGATTTTTGGGGTTCCCTGATGATTTTGGGGGTACTCAGGTGTATCCAGGTGATTTTTTGGGGGGACACAGATGATTTTTGGGGTTCCCAGGTGTCCCCACTCACCTTGACGGGCCGGGAGAAGATGACAGCCAGCGTCGCGTCCTCACGGTCGACATGGAGACAGATAACCCTTGGCGGCGGGGGGGCTGTCGGGGGGCACCCCAACATTCAGGGGGCGCCCCAAAAATCCAGGTGAGAGCCCCAGGGGTGGGAGGGAAGGCCGGGTTACCTCGGGAGAGGATGCAGCGCAGGTACACCCAGGCGCTTTGGTCCGTGGGGTCGGTGAAGACGGCGTTCTGCACCAGCTCCAGCTCTGGAGGCGCAAAGGGAGCAGCACAAAATCTCAGGGGGGCAAAGGGGCACCCCAAAACCTCGTGGGACACCCCGAAATCTGAATGGGGGCGCCCAGGTGTATGGGAGTACAGGTGTACCCATTAAAGTCAATGGGGATTTGGAGACACCAGGTCTACCCCATTAAACCCAATGGGGATTTTGGGACACCAGGTCTACCCATTAAACCCAATGGGGATTTTGCGACACCAGGTCTACCCCATTGAAGTCAATGGGGATTTTGGGATACCAGGTCTACCCATTAAAGTCAATGGGGATTTAAGGACACCAGGTCTACCCATTAAAGTCAATGGGGATTCATGGACACCAGGTCTACCCCATTAAAGTCAATGGGGATTTAGGGACACCAGGTCTACCCATTAAAGTCAATGGGGGTTTACAGACACCAGGTCTACCCCATTAAAGTCAATGGGGATTTAGGGACACCAGGTCTACCCCATTAAAGTCAATGGAAATACAGGGACACCAGGTCTACNCATTAAAGTCAATGAGGATTTTAGGGACACCAGGTCTACCCATTAAAGTCAATGGGGATTTGCGGATACCAGGTCTACCCATTAAAGTCAATGGGGATTTACAGACACCAGGTCTACCCCATTGAAGTCAATGGAGATTTACCGATACCAGGTCTACCCCATTAAAGTCAATGGGGATTTAGGGACACCAGGTCTACCCATTAAAGTCAATGGGGATTTTGGGACACCAGGTCTACCCCATTAAAGTCAATGGAAATACAGGGACACCAGGTCTACCCCATTAAAGTCAATGGGGATTTAGGGACACCAGGTCTACCCATTAAAGTCAATGGGGATTTAAGGACACCAGGTCTACCCCATTAAAGTCAATGGGGATTTCTAGACACCAGGTCTACCCATTAAACCCAATGGGGAATTTATGGACACCAAGTCTACCCCACTAAACCCAATGGGATCTATTGACCGCCATTAAACCCGCTCCCCCTTTCTAGGATCGCCTGTCCATTTTTTTTGGGATCCGTCGGATTTTTGGGAATTTTCTCTCACCTTCCTTCAGCTTTTCAGGCGGCAGCGCCCCGGGCTCGCCCCGGGCGGGCGCCAGCAGCCGCAGCCGGTGGTGCCAGGCCGAGAAGTTGGAGAAGTCGCGGCTCAGCAGCGCCCCGGCGAACGCCAGCTCGGCCTCGGGGTCCTGCCCGGCCACCAGAGCCCGCCGGTGCTCCCAGGCGTGGACTGGGAGGGCACCAGTACAAACCAGTAAGGACTGGGAGGCGCCCCCGAGCCCCTGAGGGCCGCGGCGGCAGCTCCCAGTATAAACCAGTAAGGCTTCATGCGCCCAAACCCATTCCCAGTGGGCTCCAAGTGTGATCTTGGGGTTTCCAGGTTTGCTGGGTTTATACTGGGAGGGCACCAGTACAAACCAGTAAGGACTGGGAGCCGCCCCCGATCCCTCGAGGGTCGTGGTGGCATCTCCCAGTACAAACCAGTAAGGACTGGGAGCTGCCCCGAGTCCCTGAGGGCTGTGGCGGCATCTCCCAGTATAAACCAGTAAGGACTGAGAGCTGCCCCGAGTCCCTGAGGGCTGTGGCAGCATCTCCCAGTATAAACCAGTAAGGACTGGGAGCTGCCCCGAGTCCCCAAGGGCCGTGGCGGCATCTCCCAGTATAAACCAGTAAGGACTGGGAGCCACCCTGAGCCCCTGAGGGCTGTGGCAGCATCTCCCAGTATAAACCAGTAAGCCCAGCACAACCCGAAGTCACTCCCAGTAGGTCCCAGGCCCCATCCCAGTATAAACCAGTAAGCCCAGCACCCCAAAAGTTGCTCCCAGTAGGTCCCAAAGCATCCCTGAGCTGCCTCCCAGTATAACCCAGTATCCCCCAGTATAACCCAGTAC